CGCTAGCAGGTTGACCATCAGAATGATGCAACATTGCTCAAAATAACTGCAAAGTTTCCAGATGCCCAGCTGGAACGTAAGAGCTCGCCAAAGTTTTTTACGGGTAAGTTCATAACTCGGGGATATGAGAAGCTAGAATGCTGAAATCTTAGGGTAATGTTCCCCACCGAGTAGGTGTTAATGCACTCAAACAATATAAATGATCTTAGCGTTCCATGCAATCATCAAGCTTAGTATTAGAATATGTTTCCTAAGATCAGGATATGCCTTCTTCTATTCTAAAATTCACTGTGTTTGTAGTTACTCAAGCATTACATGCAACCCAACGACTAGCACCACTTTACAACGAAGACCGAGGAGGGAGCAGTATAAGCGTTTTGTACAGTATCTGTAATGAAGCCTAAACCTTTCAATCCTTCAGCTTTCTTTCAAGCACCCCTCAAAATGCTATGTAATAGAAAGGGAGAACCTCCACTATCGGTAAGGTGCGGTTAATTAGTTCATTCCTGCGGAGTTTCATCCCTCTTAAGGAATGCAATAGTGTTGCAAAAAGAACAAGATGTTAACAGCAACGAAACGAAGCTGCGAGCTAAAACTACTTCGCCTTGCCCAGTTGCCCTTTGATTCCATGTGATATGCAAATGTCCTACCCCTGACTTGAGTTGCCTTTCCATGATATGTGACAATGTGATTAGAAATGAAGCGGTGATTGTTTTCCGGCACTAACTGTGCGGCAGCAGCTTGGAGCTCCCCCCTCCCCTCGTTCCCTTAGATAATTGTACGGCGGCAGCTTGGAGCTACTGCTGGATCTCCCGCGAATCTTGGTTGGTTTTTATGCGTTTTGTGCCGTGTAACAGCAGTACAAAACGCATATTGTCACGGGGTTGTCTGTGTGTGTTTGTGTGTGTCAGCAACTTGTCCACAACTTTCAACTCGGGAGCCACAAAAGCTAGAGAGCTGAAAATTTAGGAGGACGCTTCCCACCCATGTGTGACCCCGCAAATTTAAAACCAGCTTCCCCGTACCCGCGGGTAATACGTATGGCCCGTGAAAGTTTTTTACGGGTAAATTAATATCTCGGGAACCACGGAGTCCAGGAGGCTGAAATTTTAAAGTAATGACTCTCTTCCCGCCCTCAAGCTTGCCTATTTAAATTCAGAGTTCCCGCGCTCTTGAGTATCACCTACGGCCTCGTGAAAATTTTGGCGGGTAAGCTATTAACTCGGGAATCACGGAAAGATA